TGAATATTTCTGTAGTCTATGTAGCATCACATTAACATCTAATGTGAAAAAAAGCATTTGAAACGTTTTGTAATCCCTTTCTCAAGAAGAAAAGATCACTATACTTCCTTTTCAAGAAAAAGAAGTGTTTGATATCCCACAGTCTCTAAACTTGGAGGAGCTGTCGTTTTGGAAGCCCAAGTTGAACAAGGAATTAGTTACCTTTCCCGCCATTGGTTGAAACCTCTTAACCCCTATCAGGTTGTCATTGTTTAAGTAATCTTCCAACAAATTTATTTGGGTATTTTAGCGTTTCTTCAAGAGCCATGAGTTCATGCTTTCGTTGTATCTTATTGCTGTTCATGTTACATGTCGAGTTTGTACACCATTTAATTTGGTCGTTTCAGTGAGACAGCCGCCGGACGAGTTATTTCTTCCACTGTGCTCAAGTTTCATTAAAACATGAAGAGCGAATTCGATTCTTTGTTAATATTTGCAGCAGGTGTTTTAACCTGTTTTGAAATTCAAATTAGACGTTTCCTTTCAGTTTTCTTGGTTTCTTCAAACAATCCATATGTATATTTAATGAGCAAACTTTGAGATCTTCGCCAGACCGAAAGTTTTCAACTAAACTTCTGTCCTCAATAACTAGAACTTCGCTTGATTTACGACGCATAGAACAGTAGAGAAACCATTTCTTAATATCTAAGAAACTCGCTGAACATAGACAAGACGAACGAGGCTCATTCACTTGGATTTGCAAATAATTTGGGAGAATTTCTCGGAAAGATATCAGCAACATGGGGAAAGACATCGTTCTCGGTGAAGACTGGCTTATCACGCTGTCTGTTATCTACGGCCTGGGAGCTGTTTTGTCCGTCTGGGCGACTATTTTGTCACCAATGCTACTCGATGTCTGGGATACACCGCAAGGGCAGAAAAAGAAGACGGACCGAGACTGGTCTACAATATTTTTGGTGCTTCTGTTACTGCAGCCCGTCACGTTTGCTGGATCAGCAGTGGGAATGTGGTGGATCTCGGCCTTTGCTGTTGTTCCACCAGCTCATTTTGTATTGACGTTTCTATCTTTCTTGGCGATCGACTTCTTTCGTCCGGAAGACGATGTTTTCAGTAAATACAAATACTCTGTTCTCTCGTGAACGATCCTCAATCGAACATTGTTTTCGTATGCAAAATAGTTGTAAGTTTCAGCGTTCTTATTTGATCTGCGCATGCATTTGGCGATGTGAGTTGATCTCATGTGTTTCCCTTCGTTATTTTAGAGTTTAGTCTGTTTTTAATAGATATTTGTAGTCTCGGGCGAAACACACATATAACGTAAAACATACACACTTTTTTATATCGGAGTTTGTCCCTAAATATAGGGTACCTGATTATTGTTATCTGTAATTGAAAATATTAATTATCTTTTATGGTTAACACAGCGGTTATTAAACATCTCAACGTCCTCCTGTATCGAAGGACTCAAAATTTGTCGCGAACAGCTCAGATGGAGCGTAGAAACATTATTAAAGCTTTATGCGTTAACTATATGGCCTCCGCTTTGAAAGGACTGAACTGTTAAGATTATTTCGCAGGAAGGAGAAATAAAGGATAATTAAGGGTAATCAATTATTTATTATACGATCACCTCACTTGCACGGATACTAACTTATCATCGTTTTTGTAGTTCTGTTCTCCTAAATAAACCGTGAAAAAAAACATTTTTTGGAAAATTTCGTTTCACTCGGCCCGAAGTTCTTCCATTTTATTTTTTTCTGCCATTAAAGGTGTAAAAAACTCCCCCGCTTACGTCATACAATTTGGCAACATTTCCACCGCATACCACCGTGGGCTCATTCAAAGAAATCCACCGTTCAGAGCCGTCGAATGTGAGTCACATAACCCACGTCTACTCGGAGACTCCGCTGTTGCGGGAAAGGAACCCACGCTTTTTTCCAGAGGAGCGAACGCAACTAGCAGCAGTTATGGAGCTCAAATTAGTCTTTTAGTTTCTCTCAAATTTGTTGATTTAGTGTGCTAAGCATTTCATCGGAAACCACTGAAAAGAAATACACCCTTCAGCTAGAAATTGGAAAATGTTTGAATTTTGTTTGACCTCATAATCCAAATGGTAGGCGAGGGGCGGATTTGAGGCCGTCATGCTGTTATCAGTCCGACAACGCAATTTTCCTTCCTCAGTGCGCCAAAAACACGGAAGGTAATAAAATTGTTCGCGAAACAAGTATACTCCCTGAAGGTTACAACCAAACAGAAATAAAGATTAACCTCTGAGCAGAGATTTGTCCGTCGGTTTTCCATGAGATCTTTTCATGTCATTTGGTAGGTATGATGTCACAGATGTTTGCATATGAAATTTCGGGATGAAATGCAGAACTCCGGCAGATTTTTCGCCTTTACACTTTCAGTTAATAAGGCCACTTCAAATGAGCAAGCCAGTTTGAAAAAACCAAACAAACACGCAAAGTAATTAAAAAAAGGTTTGCTGCGGAAGCGCGAATAATGTTCATAACTGTTGTTTTGCTTCCAGCTTTACGAAAGGAAAATACAAAAAACAAATTTATTTCTATCCTTTTGACGCAGAATATCTTCTGAACCTTGCACCTTTGCAGGATTTATGAGGCTGACAATAAATATTTGCAAATTTAACATGAACGTCTTATTTCTGACGTTCAGTACTGGGTTTGGCAAATAAGTTGGTTAGTTTTCTTTCAAAAGCGCCTCTTAGGGTAAAAAGCTCTTCAAATTTTTTTTTGTTTCAATGCTTCCTCAATTTGTTCAGGAAGAACCCCGTGGTAAATAATGGGTGGTGCGCGAACGATTTGTTGTTATCACGTGTTTCCGTCACTCGCTCATGAAAAAGGTCTTTTTCATATCACTAGCAATTGATTTATTGCGGTTATTTTAATATTCCTTTTCCTGCCCGTCGAAATTAAGCCAATAACTGTTGGGATAATCCGTTTTTATCGCATCTGACTACTTGGCAAATTAATCCTCAGAAAGAAGGGCTTCTTTTCATCTGTAAGGTTATAAAAACCTAGTCGTGCTAAATGACAAGCCGCACGCTTTTATTTGATCTTGTTAAAGAGCGACAGAGTACAATTAGGAATCATCTAGTGCCTCATTTAGAAGTTCATTACACCTTGTAATTGCGAGCAAAACTTCTGCGGAAATTGGTATTATCATTGAATCACTTATTGACCAATTTAAAATTTGTGAATTTTTCGTTTCTCGTGGGTAGTAACATCATAGTACAAAATGGTGTATACCTTTTGTTTTTCAGTTCTGAAAGGTTTTCTTTAAATTGGATGTAATTCAAACTGAACATCTGTTGTTTGTGTTTTGGTATATCATCTCAGCGCCCAGAAATTGAAAATAATTTATTATCTCAATGAATGTTGACCAATTGCCAAGCGATCAGAGCATAGAATGGTTTTTAAAAGCACCGACTAGTAACAAAACGAGACACACCACAGATTAAAAGCACATGTTTACTTAAATTTATCCAGTCGCACATCGAATCATTGTTCTGGAACCACCTCGGCTAATATCTCGGTGAATTGCCTTTTAAAAGTCCTCTTCTAAACATCAAACAGCAAGGTAAGAAATTAATTTATTTCTGGCAAAAATGTATATTCTGTTGAATTTTTTTGAGATGCCTCTCAAGACTTTTTTGATAGAGTAGGGACAGAAGCAGTCTAGTTTTTGAGGTAATTCAAAACTCAACGACGTCAATGAAAACTTAAACTTAAATCAGGAAAACCAACTTGTTTTGATGCTTTCAAGTAAGTTTTCTCTTAAAAGACAAAGGAACTATAAAATTCAAATTAAAATAAGTACTATTTACAAGTTGATCTATCGTTACTGCCTCGGTTTAGAGGCAGTTCATTTTACACGAGTGAAGTGTGCTTAAAACTCGGTGAGTGTTCTCCGAAGTTCAATCTAACGTTATCGGCAGATTTTCGTGTGATTATACAAAGGCACATTTCTTCACTCGTTTAAGTGCACAATACGAACAAATTTTGAAAAACATAAAAACTGTAATATTTGGGATACCTGGACGGGCGCTTTAATTTTTCAGGCTGCAGTAGTCAGCCGGATGAAATTCATTAAGATATTCCTCACATCGAGAAAAATTTAAAATAAAAGGACTAAATTTTATTCTGTATCTGTTCTGTTTGAAATTGAGCAGAATTCTTTGTCGAAAGAAAATTGCGATTCTCCGACAGAACAGCACACCTTTATGAGTTTCCCACGGAATATTTTTGTTCAGGCTAAAGGAGTGATTTAAATTCGTAGTTAGCGGTATTGCAACGATTTCTCTGAAGTTCTTTCCGATCATCTTTATCTAATAAGATCACTTCGATGAAAAATTTATCATAATCCTACAAAAAAAAGCCATTGTCGATGGTTAAAACCATGATTCCCGTGGTTTTTCAAGAAGACAAGATCGACTTCAAATTGACTTCCATTATTTTTGAAGTGCGTATCGGCTGACCCAGGCCACAGAAGAAACAAAAGCTTTGTTTCGCCACAAAATAACGCATTTGACGCACGGCTTCCTTTCCCTGCGTTGGTCTGGTTCCAGCAGAGTTTAATGTTCTCTCAATAAATTTATCTCATTTTGAGCTAAATATATTACGTACGCATTAAACCGGCATGGTGCATATTCAAAACGTTTTGTTTATTTTCATTTTCTGGCGGTTATCTGGCACTTTAATATCAATTCAACAACGCATTAGGAAAAATAAAGTGTTTTTATTGCTACAATTACCCGTCGTATAACAGCCATTAGTTACCTAAAGTAACAAATGCCGAACTGGTATAAATCACACCTAGAGTCATGTGGATGTAATTCAACAGTCTTTATGTCCCACCTTTTTTCAATTCTGACAATCTAGCATCAACGATTGTAGCTAAAAAAAGCGTTTAGTACATTGAATCAACGAAAAGCTCTCAAACATAGTACAAAAAAAACGGAAATTTTGGGCAGTTATTTTTATTTTCTATCCTCTTCACAATAAGCTGAAACAGTTCCGTAAAATCAGTTGGATATCTTCCTTTCATTTTGAAATATGAGCAAAATTAAAATGAAACATTGAATAAAATCGTGATGTCACAAAAGTTGCACTCTTCAGGGAGCATTTTCATTAAAATGTAAAAATTAAAATTGAAGCAAAATGTGTAAGATCTAGAACAGTTTATAAAATTGAAGAACGTTCAGAGTATACAATTTTCCATTAACAATTTATTGGAGAAGAGTCTTTAGTACAAATTTTTGAGACAATAGAATGTGCATGCTAAATCGGTGAGTGGGGTCTCCTTCAAAAACTTACTGATCTACGCAATGAAATGCAAAAAGAAAAAAGTGCTTGCTAGTTTGTGTAGGAGAATTGACGCACTCAGATTTCTCTGAACTGAGATAAGGAGCTTTAAATCTTTGTTAAGCACAGCTATGGTGCTTGCAAGAGATCTGAAATGACCTAGCTAATTGAAAAATTTAAAATTTAACAGGCCTTTTTGGAAAATTTTTAACATAATCTGCATGAATTTCCTGAAAGAGTTCAATTTACTGGTACGGCCGTGCAGCTCTGACTTACAACGAAATTCTTCTTTTGAATAGACTTGTCTACAGAGCTGGGTCTGATCAGCTGTATGTTAGTAAGCTGGGAGCCAGATGGAAGGCAAACTTGGTCTCAGTCAACTCCTATGTAGGGAGGGAAAGGGGCTCAGCGGGAATAAATAGGGTAAATAGCGAATGAGAAAAACGGCCGAAAACTCTTTAGAGATAGGACATGGATTCAGGGGTAACGTTAACAAGTGGAGCTGACAGCTGTTTGGTGGTCGGAGTTTTATGATGTGTTTTGCACATGGCAATTACAAGATCACTTATCATCTCTTGGTGCACTTAAACCACAATGTCATCTAAGTCACGGAAGCTTGAAATACTCTTGAAAAAAAGAGCAAAAAAAAAAAAAAAGAAAAAAAAAATGACGTTCAAAGGTTTCAAACAAAGCAGTGTGTGCTTTGTTTTCCTCTTTTCTGATATATTCCTAAAATCAAATTGGGATAAAGCTCAGGATTCCTATTTTAGTGTTAAGGATATCTTTTTCAAGGAAAAGATGTAAAAATCAAACTTTGCCTAAGACCATTTCGATGATAGATCGGCCAGTAGTAAACACTTGCTGCTAAATGCTTCTCTATTTTTAGCAAATCGCTGACTTTTTTTGACGTATCACTTTTTTTCTCTGGTTCTCGTTTAAATTACAACCCTTTTTCCATAACATTTTTTATCGGCTATTCTCACCATTATTTTTGAAAGACCGAGAGGTTGAAATTTTATTGAACGCAAACGGTGAATTAATGTCTTAATATCAAAACTTATTATTCGAAAGCAACTCTAATGTTTGCTTGGCAAAGCAAATGCGAAACTAATTTAAGAACCTGAGTAATTAATTTGTTGTTTTTTTTTTTAACAAGGACAGCCCTGCACTTGACGTAAATGACAAGGATTTTTTTTAAAGAATTTCAAAAGAAATTTAAATTTGTTTCCAGTGTTTACATCGCAAATGTTAAGAGGGATTGATTACGTAACAGATGGAAGATTTATTTCTAGTGAAGTGGATAACTTTGCCATTGACGTACATTAGGAAAGCTGTTGAAAAATTCATCAATTCTGGCAACATC